AGAGTCATTCCCTTGTTAAAATTTAAATTAAAGGGAAAAAATTTTTCAAGGTTCTGTGCAAAAACCGCTTGATCTGGCCCCTTTGATATGTATTTGATGCAATACTTGGTTGAATGAATTGATGAGCAGATTTCAACATTGATATGACAGTTGAACAAATATGTATTGTAAGGCACTACCCACTGATTGGTGATTTCTTGCTCAACTTGACATCCATATTGTCTCATTTTGATCTTGCTTATGTGACCTCCATCTGCTGGCTTTCTACTTCTATATTTTGGATAGGAGTCATTCCCTTGTTCAAATCTAAATTATATCAAAGGGAAAAAAATTTTCAGTGTGGGGGTTTGTGTCTCCTGGGGAACCCCTTTGATCAAAATGAAATATACTTATCCAAGCACCCTGGGTAATTTAGTTTCAGAATATATATGGTTATGGGGTCCTACTTCCAAAATCCTAGGAGGAGTTCAATAACAGACAAACAGAGGTTACAAATATATATATATATATATATATATATATAATACGAAAGCAAATTGAGTCACTGTCAGTCACTGGGCATGTTTCTAAAAATAAATATGCTAAAAATCCACCTTCATCCCTACCATGCGCCGACGGCTTAGTGGTTAGAAGCTCCGACTGACACCAATTCAGTCGGGTTTCGATCCTAGCTAGAGGCAACCGGATGTTTAGCCACACTGATGAGCTGTAAACAGTGAAACAGTCTGTCTGTGGATGACGTTATATATATATATATATATATATATATATATATATATATATATATATATATATATATACACGAACACACACAAATAAATTAAGTAATTTTAAGTTAATGAACTAACAGACCATGGCTACTCTTTAGCCTCAAACTTAGTAAATACCTAATAGGCTTTTTTCCATTTTTTTTTTTTTTTGTAATAATTAAGGAACTAGTTTTACAGAGTATAACACTTGTGTAGTTAGTGATGTACCATTGGCTACAAACACTTATATTAATTATTTTATAAGTAACATTAACAGATATTCACTGGAATATAGTAAAAAGGATTACCTATGGCAAATAGACTGAAAAGTTCAAGAAAGAAGATAAGTATGAATGTGCATAGATGAGATTCTTTAAATATCTGACCTGAAAATACTTGCAATGTAGTAGTTCAATATATTCAGAGAAGCAGTAACTTGGTTAGTCCCATGGCTGACCAAACACAAAAGATCACTATGAAGAAAATTTCTTATTCTTAAAAAGGCAAAAACTTCATTGACAATTTTTTTTTTTTTTTTTTTGCAAACTTAAACCTTTGTGCCCACAAAAAACCAGTGTCAAAAAAACTGTTTTTTCATTGACACCACTATTATTTTTAACTATCTTCACTCCTCAACAATGTTTGTTTTAAAAAGCAATGATTAGAATTGTAATAAACCCTAAATATTTGATGAAAGTGAATTTATACATTTTTTTCTCATTCTTGGGAATTAAAAAAAAAATTTAAACACTTTGTTTATTTACAAGAATATTTTTATATTTACAACATTTTAAAACCTAATACAATTAAGAGTAATGCAATATTTACCAATTTATAAAGAAATAGATATGAAAGTTTATTTATAAACATTTACTAAATTAAAACTATAAAGAAATCCTTATCTACAATTTTATAAAGTTCAAATCAATTGGTAATTAGATGATGTTTTGCAAATCATTCCTATAAATCTAATAAATGAATAGAGTTTTTTTAATTTTGTTGTTAATTCCTAGAAAAAAGAAAATTTATAAATTCACATTCATTTGTTTAGGTTTTATTAAAATTCTAAATTGTCACTTTTTAAAACAAACATTGCCATAGATGGAAAGTAGTTAAAATAATAGCTGTGACAATGGAAAAACTGTCCTTTTGACACTGTTTTTTTGTGCTGTAATTTTTTTTTTCTTCTTTTTACCTGATCTCATATTTAGTACTTTTATTTTTTTTAAGAAATTGATCCACTGTAAGACAAGCCTCAGAAAAAAAATCAGACCATGAGTTGACAAATGAATATCTATCAGCATTTAAGGATTTTTTTTCACTTGACATATGAAGATTTTTTTGGCATAACAGTCCCTGACGATGAAAAATGGATTTATCATAGGATTTTAACACAAAGAAAGCAGACCTGGCTGCTAACGAAAAGACCATAAAGTCCACAATGACTATAATCTTGACTGGGATCGATGAGATTGACAGATAAGGCAAAGAAAATTTTTTAGCTATATCCAGAACAGTCTATGATTTCTCAACCTAAATAGAATTTATTTGTGGTTGGCGAGATTCAAAATAATTTTTTGTTTTGTATTGTTGAGACAAGGATAAACTGTTAGTGCATAATGATATATGGAGCAACTACATTGTTTGAAAAAACATTTTTATAGTTGACGAGTTATTTAGTTTCATATTGCAAATTCAAGGTAGCAAACATTTATGAAGATATGATGGAAAGTGCTTCCATATATAGCAAATTCTTCAGATAAATTACATTGAGGTTATCACTTGTCGCACTCTATGCAACACTCTTTCTCTGGTTAATGGTGTTAACAAGTTAAAGATATTGGAAAATTCCTGAAAGAGCACATTAAATCCAAACTAGAATGACCTAGGTGGTGTAAGGTCAAAGAAGCAGAGAAAATACTTTAGAGCTGGATAATGATGTTATAAATTTTTGATCGCATTACAAAAGAAATTTTTTTATACAGAAAGCAAACAAATTGCAGCATGATTGTTAAAATATAGATTGTGTCAGAGAAACGATGATTTTCTAAAGAAAATTTCAAAATTCAATGACAGCAAATGCATTCAACCAGATCTTTATAATAAATATTGGACTATTGTTAATACTTAAATAGCCTATAATTGAACACTCTTAGACATATATATATATATATATATATATATATATATATATATATATATATAAATAGAAATAAGCAGTTCTTAAAAAGAGCCTGCATTGAATGCACAATGGAAAGAAAAACGTGCTCAACACCATACTTCTACATTAATCACCTTTCAGGCATACAGCGTCCAAACATACTTCAGGCTTTTATGCAGTTGTCAGCCAACCACCTGATGATTGCATAAAACCATGAAACTTATCATTTCAAAGATATACACTATCTGAAATTTTTACACACACATATATATATATATATATATATATATATATATATATATATATTAAAAAGAAGAGAAAGAGGTGCATAAATGTTTTTGGTTGTAACGTGATTTATTTAGAAAAAATATTATGCTTTGTTTTACATAATTTTACGACACGTGTTTCTGGTCGTGACCATCTTCAGGTAAAAGTGGAGATTTCCATATTATTAAAAATAATTAATTTTTTTCCTTATGTACAATGTTAAATATTCTCGATATGAGACATTCTCTTTGTTTGTGTGTTTTTAATCGAATTTCTTTCTTGAATTCAAGAAATAAATTCGGATTACCAACACACAAACAGAGAATGTTTCATATGTGGAAATCTCCGCTTTTACCTGAAGACGGTCGCGAGACCAGAAACACGTGTTGTAAAATTATGTAAAACAAAGCATTTTCAATATCTCATTCCCATCCAGTTTACACTGCATGATAAGATTATTAGGTTAATGATATCTGCTCAGCTTAGTGATTTGGCTAGATAGAATTAGAATAATTGTGTCGTGTCAGGCTCCCAAGTGGGAAAGGTTTTACAGTCTTGAAAATCACTTTGAAATCCTAGTTCTTACCAAAGATTGTCCATCTATCCATTATGCCAATAATCAAGACTCCTCATGGTATTTTGTTGTGTAATGAATTTGACCCTTACTTTGTATTCTATTATTGTGGCCCTGTGTCAGACTAAGTTTAGTAACCAACCAAGAAAAGATATTTGTTTACATTTTGGAAAGTGGGTCAAATTGACAACTTTCCAACACTCCTTTCTATATAGGACAATGATCAGGGAAAGATGGTTGATAAGTCAGTCTCACAGACCATTTTTTTTTTTTTAGAGGTGAATGAGATTGATACCTGGCGCTCTTTTACTGTAGCCTTGTGCTAGACTGAGCTCAGCATAGCAAATGTTTACATCGAATATAAAGTGGGATGCGCAGGTAGCATAATGATTACTCCTTGGAATAATAAATGACCAAGCCAAGCCTGAATTCCGATCAAGTTCATTGCATTCATTTTCGCACTCTCTTAAACATTAATCACTTCTCCCCAGAGGTATGGATTAAACAGGATAGATTAGACTCTCTGTAGTTGGCAACTAGTCTAGGAGAAGGACAACATTGAAACCATATATAGTCTTTGTGTAGCACATACTATACAGCCTATAAAAACATTAAGGAGTTCACAATTTTCTGCCATGTGGAGTTGCAGACTATGAAATGAAGCATCACACATCAATTTGTCCTGACAATTGTATATGTTGTTTCAAGAGAACACTAATCCTGATAAAAAAAAAAAAAAATCTTTTAGATCCCTTGATATTATACAATTATATATCAACCAGTCAAGGCCGCAGTAGGGATTACAGAGTCATTGCAAACTTCACAATCCTTTTATTAGCTATATATTAGTTGCATATTACTTATTTTGCCAGGACTAAATAAGGTCTGAAATTCAGAGTTGTCTTCTTATATATCTTACCACCCCAGGCTGAATAGTCCAGTCTACCCTACTATTTAACCTATAGCTGGGGAGATTCCTATATTTCTCAACTGGAATGCAAACTCCACTCTCCAGTTTATTGTTCCATTACATCACCCAACATGAGAGTGGTAATTATATAATTATCTACTTGAAGCTTTTGCATTTATAGCAAGTTATTTTTGCAAAAGTAACTAAATTAGCAAGAGAAGGGAAAAAGAAAAGTTCTTTTGTAACACCTCATGGCAAAGTCATTACATAAATAGTCAAGCAATTTATTGTCAAGATTTTGGGAGAAAGAGATGAGAATCGATAAAGGAAGCAACTTACATGGAATAATGTCTTTGTATCGGTTCTTTTTTATGTTGTGTGTCCGTTTTCCTTCTTCAGCAGGAAATGTATCCTCCTCTTTATGTTTAATGCCAAGCATTCGAAGTTCCTGAAAAGAAATCAAAGAAAATACATTAATTCAATCAGAATTGGACAAAAGGATAATTCCTTAAGGTCTTTGTAATGACATTAAAAATAATGCCATGTCTCTTCAAAATGTAGGCAATCATGACTCTCCATTGATATTTCCTTATAATTAATGAATTCCCATGCATTCTTGGGAAAGAAAGTGGAATGGTTTCTTACTGCCTTTATTTCCTTCTCTTAGACTGGTTGCCACCCAAGGTTAGACATCACATAGCAATCCAGTACTCTTTGCTTCTAACAAACTATTTTTTACAATTTTGAAAATCTCTAATTGGTTGGTTGATTTGTTTAATAGTATATCAGCTCCTCATGGGTCATTTAATTTTCTTGGGAGCTTTAAAGTAATAAAAATGTTATTCTACTTTCGCAATTGAGTACATGGTGGATGATACTCAGCTTAAGAGCATTCACAAGTTTGTGCGGATATGATTACTAGAGGTGGTGATATGTGTGCTTTATGTTGTAGTTTTTTTAAGTTATATTTTGGAATACAGTTTGATTTAAGAAATTGTTGGATATTATATGGATTAATGTCATGAGAGGTCATTCATGTTGGTTGTTTGATTTTGTTTAGTGGCTTTAACTAAATATATTATATATAATTTAGAATGCAATTGTATACCTTTAACTACAGATAAAATGTAGTCCTGTCATTTTACTATATATATTATTGGTCTTTTTATATAAAAATGTATAGTTGACATTTTTACTATTAAAATGTATTTTTATATTTTCATAGTGTTTTTGCTTGGGGGAGGATTCACTGTTTGCCTGTAGCTGGGACCCTAACATATGTTACCACTCCAGGTCAGGATGAACCTGGAAACAGCAGCAATTAAGAGATGGTTCCCTGCTCCCCCAAACCTCTAATCTCCCAATCAGAAGCCTTGCTGCCAGATGTAGTTTATCATCATACCCAGGAGTTAAAAAATAATTGTAATTGTTCTTACCAAAGTTTGACAATCCATCCATTAGGCCAATGATCAAGACTCTTCATGACTTCTATGGAAGTAGATAAGAGATGGATTTGTCTTTCCCAATGGCATTAGTGCAAAAGTAAGCAATAGACTAGACTGGAATTTGAACTTGTCTATGCTGATAATTGCTACACTACCTGCACATATTGTTAGGTAAATAAAAAATAGTGTTAGGATTGTTTGAAATGTGAATTAACATTAAAGCAAAACCAGTTATATAGAAGTATGTGAAGTATATTTGAACTTTTAAAAATATTTTATAAAGTTTTTTTTTAAAATATAGAGAAAAATTATGACTGAAAAGATTATAATTGGAACTAAATTTGATCAAAGTTACAAGAGAGTAACTGTCTGAAATAAGTGATAAAACCCAAATATATCATATTTGATGGCATATAAAAAAACACCAAAATATGGCTTGCAAAAAAGAAAAAAAATGATATATATCAACCAGCCTAGATTAAGTCTATATCTGCTAGCTTCAGGCATGTAGATAATTACTTGCTTTGCTCATAGTGATTTCTCTGATGAAAAATTGAGTATAGATTCAATTACTGTTGGAAGACACATTTTCCTTTCTCAACCTAGGCCAGTTGATATTAATTTCATTGCTTAAGAAAATAGACAACACACACCAACATATATATATATATATATATATATTTTGAACCCTCTTATTGTAATCAGCATATAAGGGTCTAACAATTCAGGTCCTTGAACTGAACAGTCATACTACTCGCATATATATATTTGATTATGGTGGTGAAGGTTTGTGCAGAACCATCCACAATTTTCAGAAGAACACAATACAGCGGATTGGTGCCACAAGTTCTCAAAACTGCTCTCTTCAGGTTATGAATTCAGAGTTGTCCTTCTCTGAGACACGTTTCCAACCAAAGTTAAAAGAGCCCAGTCTGTCCTACTATTGAACTTATAGTTTGGTGATATTGGATATGCAGATGGTGCAAAGGATAACCGCTTGGAATGAGAAATCAGAGCAGAGAGCTGAGTTCAAATGCTAGTAGAGTTTGTTACATTCACTTAAGTGCAAATACACTTTGGAAAGGGGTGAATCTATCTCTTCTCCCCCCCCCGCTATGGGTTAAGCAAAAATTTTTTTTTTAAGTTTAAAATTTTAGTGTTCCCTCTCCTTTGGGTGAATGTGTAGTTACATCTTCATAAACAACACTAGTCCAAAAGGACAAAACACATTACACAAAAATGTTTTTCCACTTTGTTATTAATTTTCCTAAAATCTCACAGATTTTGTATATGTATGCGAAGTATCTGGTTGGCTAATGTTTATCCAAATATTGTAGACTACCAGTACTTGCACTTAACATAATTCAATAGTAATGGAGAGACTAGTTTTTTAATACAGGACATATTTGGCAGTTAGCTTTAATCTTAATTGAAACTTAAATCTGTTTTTCCAAAAAATTCTTAAGAGGAAGATTTTACAAGTTCACTTATCACTTTTTCTAATATTGATGGGAGTTTCCTTCCTAACCTTTTGCTTAAGGTAGTATGAAAAATCAACGTCTTTATTATTATAATTTTTCCTTCTAGTTACATATGTTACCATATATATATATATATATATATATATATATATATATATCCAACTTCATGTAGTGTGACCCCTGAAATTTTTTGGCATGAGTTTTAACCCCTCCAGAAAAAATTTACCTGTGTATAGTGCAGTTGGTCACCAAAAATGCATGGGGAAAAATTACCTGTGTATAGTGTGACTCCTTATTGTTTTGCATAAAAAACTGATCATAAAAACTCTCACTATACACAAGTATATAAGATCTGATGAATATTGCTTAAAAGGAAGATGGCTTTATCTGCCATTACATATGGTAAATTAAGATACAAGATGGTCAATTATCCAAAATATGAGACCAATTAAACTGTAATCATGTACTTATCAAATTTTACTAAGTTGATATTGCTATCAGCCATTGTAAAGTGTTGAAGGCAAAGATTAGAAAATAGAAAAATATTGTTCAAAATTCTGAAAGGAGTCATTATTTAATGAAATAATTGAACAATATTCACATTAATGTTCTTTATATTGTAGTGAAAACACAAAGAAATTCAATTGTTTGAATAAAATTGGTCATATTAATGACTCAAAATTATAGACAATATACTGTGTCATTGTTGCATGAAAATGTATTTGCAGAATGTGTTTTTGTCCTTCCTCATTGCTTGAAATGAGTCAGTGTCATTCTTCTGTAAATTATTTGGAGTAATCTCCCCTTCCTGATTTTATGACAGTTTGGTCAATGCATTGAGAGAAAGGCTGCAGAGTATAGCAGAGAAACATCAACAGAAAGTATGGAATCATCATTGGTCTGTTTCTTTTTGAGAAGTACTTTTTCTTTTCCAATAATTTGTCTGGGTCAATCTCTAGGTCAAAATTTATCTAATGCAGATCCATGTGCATTGACTACATTTTAAACCTAAGAAGGCCACAGAATGAACTGGCTGAAACAGTGTAAAGTTAAATAAGAAAAAAAAAATTAAATTGATTAATTTTTTTTCCATATTTAACCCCCACACCACCACCAAAAAAAAAAAAAAAAAAAAAAAAAAAAAATAATATTATGCTATAAGTTTTTCCACCTAGAAAACTGAAAAGGCACTTAGGGAGAATAGGAATTGAGATGAAGATTGTTGAGCTCCAGAAAACTGCCATCATTTACTGTGAGATTATTCTCTGAAAAGTTTTTAAATTGTGAAGAGTCTTGTTGATACCACGCCTCAGAATTTCCACTGACTACAATTTGTTGCACAACAAAATTAAAATTTATAAAAAATTTTTTTGAATCATTTCATCCCAAGCAAATCAATAAAGCCATTAAGATGCTTGGGGTTACAGAATATGAAAGAATGATAGGAAAAGAAAAACCTTAATGAGAGAGAACAAATTAAAAAAAAAAAAAAAAAAAAAAAAAAAACAGGAATTAAGAAGACAAAAGCTAATGATTAACATTGATCTTCAAAAATTTAAATACAAAATTGACTAAAAAGTGAGAGGACATAGTATGAGAGAAGAAATTGCTAGCATAAAACTTCCAGTTACATCTAGCTATTTCATTTATAAAATGAGGAGACCTAGTTGCCAATATATATATATATATATATATATATATATATATATATATATATATATATATATATATATATATATATATGTGTGTGTGTGTTTATTATATATTAAAATAAATAATATAATAATATAAAAGAATTTTTAAAATATTTAGTAGACAAACATATGCAAGAGCAGAGAATATTGTGAGTGAGAGAAAGAGAAAAAGAGAGCCAAAGTGTCTTTCTGAAGGAGGGGGATTGAAAGTTCTAATATCAGATTGATCCATTGCACATGATGGTGCAGCCATGGATGTAGAGTCAGCTGTTATGGAAGCCTGAAAATAGAGAGAGTGACTCCAACCTAATTTTAATGGCCAGCCCAATAAAACAGTAGCATCCAACCAATGGGGCATGTTAATTATGTGGTTGAAATAAAATGATTCGCAATGCACAAAAAATACTGTGACCTCAAATTCTGGTCCTTGACAAAGATCATCAGAGAGACAATCGATTGATACTATAATCACATATATCTATCACATTTTTTTTATGCACATTTATTATAAACTTGTACAAGATTTTATAAGAACCAGGTTTTCCCATTGGAATTATCTGATGTATCATAATATTTAATAAATAACGAATTGCAAAATCCCCTCTTAAAATTTCCCTATTAAATATTTGTGATAAACAGATATAGGGTGTTCCGATAACTTGGACAGATTTTAAATGTAAATTAAGTTTAAGTGACTAATGATTTTTTTTCTTTTAGATTTAACACTTTGGCAATTTCAACCATGGAAAGATTAACAATCAAACAACATGTTAAAGCCTATTACGAAAATGGACATTCAAACAGAAATGCATTTTACGC